CCCTGGAAATTTCTCTACATCTTCCAGGTGTTTGGTTATCAGAAGGATACACCCATCTTTTCTTTGGAGTTGTAAGATTTGCTCTTACCCTTCATGGTAGAAAAAGTCTCCTGCAGTTTCAAGAATTGCAGTCCTTAATATCAGATTCTCAGAATATCAGCATGCGTAAATAAGAATTATGTACTTTAAATGCCGGAACTATCCTTGTTACCATGCTTCATCTTCAACATGCCTATATAGGACTCCCATCGGCCATCTCCTTTTTAATTTGAAAGTTCAAATCTAAATAGTTGGAGTCGTTCTATATTCAATTACTTATGGAGCAACTCTCCACTACCAAATCGTCTACAGAATCCAAAATCACTCTTTGGATTTCGCCATTCCTCAAGGAACAGAAGATGTTCTACTTATTTAAATAGATACTAAACATGTTCATACCTGTACTTATGTTCGAAGACATATCTCATGGGCTAGAATAGCAAAACTCATTCCTGAATCCTAGATCACAAGTTATGAACAAACTCAAAAATCCGTCAAAGAATTTACTCCCATACAGTCTACCCAGCACTATTTCAGAAAGAAATATGATGGATTTGTTGATATTTATTACGAAAGGACCGATCCCCAAAAAGGCCACCTTGTTTCCAAACACAATTCACCTTCTCAAGTGAAATCCCTGTATATGTTTTCGATTCCAATGGATAGCCTATTAATTGCAAAATAGATGAAAGAGGCCATAATATCTGGGATTTTTGTTTTTGTTCAGATTGCTTAAACGATGAGACTGGTGATCATGAATCCTCTTCTACTAAGAAAAGAAGGTCAAAGAAAAGTAGTGAACAAAAATTACAAAAACCTGTGAAGAAAAAGAACATACTGTTAACATTCTGGAAAATTTGATTGTTATGTCAAATTTACTCCACCTCTCATAAACAATGATCTGATTGTTCCTTCTGGATGTGATGAGAATGATGATGATGTCCGCAGGTAACATAAAAATAAGGCTGGAAAGATCATGACAACAGCCTTACCAGAAGCTAAGTTTGAACCAATAATGATGTTTCATCCACTAGCGAGTCCTACTCCGCCAGAAAAATTTTGAGGAGGACAATTCAAGTCATATATGGAAAGTCAAAAAACCAACTGCTAGAAAAGCTGATGGATCAATTGCAAGTATTTCTCCAGCAAAAGCAATCTTAAATTGGCAGCCTGAAAACATAATCAAACAAAATTTACTTTTTCAGAAATTTGATGAAAGTCAAGAAAGGATTAAAGGACTCTTAAATAACAAACTAATACACTACTCTCTCCAATTGAAGATTGCAGAAAAAGAATCAAAACAGCTTACAATGAGATCATGTCCCTCTTAGCCTAAAGACTCTCATTTAATATACATGGAATAGAAATCAAACAACTAAAGATCCTGTTAACCGCCATGGAATCCCAAACTCCATTCCACCTACATATTCTTCCTTAGTGCCAAGTTCATATCATATGGCCCATACAGCCTAGATGTAACTCCAATAAATTATGAAACATCTCTTTTCGCCAAAAAAAAANTAATGAGGATTGTCAACCTTTATAAATGATTGATGAGACACAAAAGAGTCCAAAAATTGAAGAACCGTCTAGAAAAGGACATTATGAAGATTATGATAATGAAACGCTTGATGCTACTGAAAACCAATCAGTTAAAAATAATTACTATTCTCACAATGGTAATTTTTAAGTAAAGTTCACTCTTAATGATTTACTGCATTCTCAATAGAGATCCAAATTACAAGAAATGTTAGCATAGAGTACAACAGAGTTAACAAAGCCTAATGACTCAAAACATGGTCATAAGAGGAGTCCTGGCATGATTTACAGGATTCCGGGAGGATTGGTTTATAGCTCTTGAAGATTATAGACAATAACAATGGGTGAATGTCCAATCAATTGATTCCTTCTTCAATGATCTATACTGAGAATTCTGTGGAAAATCATATCACACAAAAAAAGGCCCATGAAGAATTCTTTAAATTAAAGCGTTGCTCTTACAAGTACAAGGATTTGGATAGGTACTTTAAAGAAGTCATAAAGAGATACCATATCCTTACAGGAATAGATGAACACAATCTCAAGCAAGCGTATCTTGAATCACTTCCTCAAATGCTTGGTCAAAAAACTCCCAGGACAATGGAATTGAAAAGACAAACAATATCTCAAACATCCATTCGAAAAATCCACAACTAAGTATTAAAAACTCTGTAACCAAAGAGATTTCTTCAGAGACTTTAACATAATTGGAAAAAAATTCGACAAAGCTTGTGATTAGTCATACCTAAAAATTAAATGGCAAAATAATGACAAAGAATGTGATTGTCCAAAACCCCGGACATTCAAAAGCAAGAAATTCATAGTCTATCGAAGAATGAAAAAATCTTCTAGACTTCCTTTCAAAAGAAAAACGATTTTTCTAAAGAAAGTTCTCAAAAAAGAAAGGAAACAAGTGTTTCATATGTGGAAAAGAAGATCACCTTGCAAAAAACTACAACAACAAGATAAAAGACAAGATTCTTCATGAAATTCTTTCAGCAGCACAAGTTGATTTTATGAAGATGATTTAGAATCTTTATTTTCATAAGAAGATGATCAGTCACTGAAAACAATTTTTGCTCTTGAATACTATGGTGATAACAGCTGTACTGATAACAGCGGTGAAAGTGCACAAGAATGTCTTAACATCCAAGACTTTGGAGTACAAGTCATAAACATTTCTTTCGCAATCCTAATGATTGACGTTAAACATTTTCCAATAAAATATAAAAGGCCCATTACAGTTGCAGCATTGCTTGATACAGAAGCAACATTCTCAGTTCTTAATCCAACCATATTCCCACAAAACATGTGGAAAGAACACCCAAAACTCTTTAAGCAGACGATAATGAGTACTTAACCATTGAGCTCATTAGCAAACCTATCCAACTCCAATCTTTCCTAGAACTCAGCATCACACACAAATTACTAGGATCATCATCACCTGGTAAAGATCTTGTTATCAATTTTGAAATTTTCAAACATCTATTGGGAAAAAGAGTTGTCCCCTGGTCAACTGGCCTCAAATTCAAAAACTATACGCTCTTTATATTAAATCGATTACCTATTAAACCTATTTTGTACCAACCATAAAAGATATCCTCATAAGACCTTATTGTGCAGAATCTCATACAGGATTTCTCACCAAACGCATAAAACTCCTTTGGGCAAATTTCTTAATAACCCTGCCTTAAAATAAAATGATGATGTTAATCGCACGAAAGCAAGTCATACTGGGATAAGTCAGAATACTTTGAACTTGCAACTAAGGAATTGGTCCAATTACAATCTGAAGGATTTATTAAGCCAACAACCTCTCAATGGGCTTGCCAAGCATTTTACGTCAACAAGAGAAGTGAAAAGGAGGAAAACTGAGATTAGTCATTGATTATAAGCCATTGAATCATTTCCTTGCAAATGGCAAATTTCCTATTCCACACAAGAAAACAATGTTTGCAAACTTGACAGAAGCAAAGGTCTTCTCTAAATTTGATTTGAAGGCAAGATGCTAATAACTTGGAATCAGTCTAGAAGAAAGGCATAAGACCACATTCTGTATTCCAAATCAACATTTCCAATGGATAATAATACCTTTCAGTCTCAAAACGACACTTCTTTACTTCAAAAGGCAATGGTGAAAATTTTTCAACCACTTCTCAAAACAACATTGATCTATATCGATGATATTCTCATGTTCTCTGACATTATGGATATTTATGAACTACTCCTCCAAAGATTTATAGATATTGTCACAAAATATGGTATTATGCTATTCCAGAAAAAGATGATCGTTGTAACATCAGAATTTGATTTTGGAATGCATATAAAAATGGAAAATATTCTTTACAGCCGCATATTGCTGAAGACTTCACAAGTGTCTGATTACAACTTGACAAAACAACAAGCACAACAATTCCTTGGAGTGGTGAATTATATGACTTATTTTCTCAAATAGCTGGCTTCCATTATAAGACCTCTACAATATATGTTGAAGAAAATTCCTCCACAATAGTCTTACAAGCAAAATCAAGCTGTCAAAAGAATCAAACAGGAAATTTGTAATCTTTCGGCATTACAAATTCCTACAAATTCCCTGATTACAACTTAACAAAACAAAAAGTACAACAATTCCTTGGAGTGGTGAATTATATGACTGATTTTTTCAAACAGCTGGCTCCCATTATAAGACCTCTACAATATATGTTGAAGAAAATTCCTCCACAATTGTCTTACAAGCAAACTCAAGCCATCAAAAGAATCAAGCAGGAAATTTGTAATCTTCCATCTGGAAAATGAATTTAGCAAATAGATACAAATGATTTTAACTGGAGAGCAATGCTCCTAGAATAAAATGATAAAGAATAATCTGTAGATACAAAAGTGGAATATTCACAAAGCTGAAAAACATTATCATTGGACATTTAAGGAGATTCTTGCAGTCAAAAGAGGAATTGGAAATTTTCAATTTCCTTTCATTGAACATAAGTTTCTAATCGAAATGGAAGTGAAAGCATTTCCTAAAATGCTTAACTTTAAGAAACACAAATTTTAAATTCACCACTCTTGAGATGGGCAGAATGATTTTCAAATTTTGACTTTAAAGTCAAATACATCAAAGGAAATACACCATACTACTTGATCTACTTTCTAGAACGACACCTTCTATCCAATCACAAATTCCAACAATCTGTATGCTCAATCTCACAAAATCCACCAATCCAAAATTTCCCTCTTGAACTTCAAAACTTAATCAGAAATCACGCAATCCATTCATATCAAAGGAACTCATTTTAAAATATCAATTCTTGGTTATCAGATAGTATGACATTCAAATTTTTGAAGGAATTGATTTTCGTCAAGATTATCCATTTTTTAACCTCTGTTATTTCAATCCAGATCAAGTCAAAGAAAAATTTTCAAAAGAACTTATATGTTTTCCCTGGTATCTTTTGGAGTTACATTAAATTGCAATTTGCCTTATTGCATCCATCATGAAAAACTGACTTTTTGAACTTGGTTTACAACTTTGGAAGGATTATCTAAAATTCTTTTGAAAACCAGATAATGAAGTAATCAGATTCTTTGAATGATTTGTTCCACTTGATCATTAGTTTCAAAAATTCAATGCCTTTTATTTAAAATTCAAAGATCATAGGACTTCATTTGACAATATTCATATAATCCTGGTCTTTCAAAGGCATGGATATTTTACAAAATTAGGTTAATATGAACATTTTTCACATATAAAGGAATATGTAGTCCACCCATTCAATCTTCGCATAGATTGGAAAAAATATCCTCAAAAATTCAAAACATTCTAAAGGAAAATGGCAGAACTCAATTAGACAATCCCTTTGGAACTCTGGCATAATATTGAAGATGATGCATCATGGGAAACTCTACCACTGTCATATGCTCAAAGAATTCAACAGGATATTCAGGAACATATGGACAGTCTTGGCCAAATTTACAATTATTATCTAGTCCATCTGCATGATGATTATCATTTTGGCAATTCCTAAAACCAGTTGTATCTTGATAGGCCTACCTAAAGCTTAGGATAGACAACTAAATATTCAGAAGACACCACCAAAGGTCAACAACCCGATGAAGGTTATGGAAAATGCTCAATGAAAATGTTCTCACCACAATACTCTACGCTGCTAGAGACCATTCATAGTTTACTAACAGTATTCAAAGGCTAGGAGAAAATATTATAAGAAGGTTCAAGCTCAAGTCAAGAGCCAACATTGTCCCAATCTCAAGATTCTCAAGATCCGTAGTCCTATTCTTTCAACCTCAATGATCCAGAATATCTCAAGAAACTAGAACAACGGTGTTATGAAGAAAAGCATAAGCTATCAAATATGCCTTGGTGAAAGAAAGCTAGACTATCGTCAGATGCAGAACATTCGGATGAACGAGGAAGGGCAGCAAATCTTGGTACCCTTGTGAAAATTATTAACATGTGTAATAAAATGATTTTGTCGCTTTGTATGAGTTGGAAGTCGTATTGTACAATAATTGATGAAGCACTATTTGCTTTATCAAAAGTTTGTAAAAGCATATTGCCACTTTATCAAAAGAATGATTGCTTAGTCAAAAGTCTTTGTCCATTTGTATTATGATTGTACTGTATGCTTTTTAAAAGTTGTCTGTCTATTTGTACAATTATTGTAACCGTCTATATTATTGTTTCCATGGTATCTGAAGATTGCATATATAAGGAACCTTCCTCCTTCATTGTAAGATCATTGAAAAATAGAAATAAAATCTTAAGTTTCATAATATCATGAGTTTCTAAATCTCTCTGTTTTCTTACTAGCATCTAGAATTCTAGTATTAATTTACACGAGTCATGCTAATCAACTGATCTAACAGTTACATAAGTATGCTCTGCTACTGTCTCATTTGTGGATCCTTAGCATCAAAAATTGGGCTGCAAACCTACAGGAAGATTTGCTATCCTAAGTCAAACCCTATATTTGAAGCCTTGAGTTGATTGTTTGTTTGAGGGCTAGAATATCTGGATCGCAACTTTCCCTTGTTGAGTGAATTTTAGATTGACTATTTGGCACTATAACTATAAAATACTTTTGTTTTATGATATAGCACATATTTATTTGATTGGACTTTAATTATTTATATATCTCTCATATTTATTTCATATGCTCTAAAACCTGTTAAAGGTAATATTTTAGTTAAGTTAAAATAATATAATATTATTTAAAATTTATTTATTTAAATTGATTTAAAAGTTCACTATTATTTTAACGAAAAGAGTTTTTGTTCTCGCAGAATCGGCTCTTGGAACTTAAAAAGGCCCTCCCACATACATTATGAAAGAAGTGAACCTTTGTCTAGCCACCCAATCGCGTTTCTCAAGCTCGGCTTTAGCCTTCTGCATGATTAGATTGATCCAATTCACTTATCAACCCAAGTTTGGGGCAAATCTGGTGAACTCACATTTTAACATAAAATTTGTCCGTTATCAAATCCAACAGAAGTTTCACTCATAACATTTGAAAGTTGATATCTTTTCTCAAGATCGCGATTTCCATCATTCTTTCTAGTGTTTTACATCTTTTTCTTAACGAGATTGTGATTTCCATCATTTATTTTTATTTTTTTATTTTTTTGTGCTGCCTAATTAGTTTGACATCTCCATGATAATCTTCTACTTTAATCGTTTTGGGTATCCTTATGTCTTGCAAT